CCAGGATTACTGTGGGGCATAAAAGCATCTTCTTAGTCACTCTGAGCTAACAAGAATCACTTCATTCCATGCCCCCCTGAAAACCTGGTAGTGAGAACCCTACAATGCTGGTCAGATTCCAATCGTACTAAAATACAAATTAAAAGGAGATGTCAGTTGCCATACTTTACTCCAAAATGTATCAGCTTGTAAGAATATAATTATTATTTTTTAAATAAATGGGAGTATGTCTGCATTTTCCCACCACATTTAAAATAGAATCTTTTTTCTTTTTTTCAATATCAGTCACACTTTATTAATGCTTTCTTGGAACACAGTAGACCCTTTCATTCTATGATTCCAGGCGTTTCTTTCTTTCTGTTTCTTTTAAATATTTTATTTTTAGAGAGAGGAAAGGGAAGGGAGAAAGAGAGGGAAACATTGATGTGTGAGAGAAACATCAATCGACTGCCTCTTCCAAGACCCCAACTGGGGGCCTGGCCTGCAACCCAGACATGTGCTCTGACTGGGAATCAAACCGGCAACCTTTTGCTTGGCAGGCTGGTGCTCAATCCACTAAGCCACACCAGCCAGGGATAGGTATTTCTTTATTTCTAGAAAAAATGTATTTTATATGTTTAATTACAAAATAAAAACTTTTTGAATAGTTCATAAAACTGCACTGGAAACTACACAATGAAATACTATGCAGACATTCTAACTGACAGTTGCAAAGATGACACCATTATGTAGAAAAACAACGTGACAGAGACTGTTAACTGTCCAACAATACCCATTTTCCCCTTCTTTCTTTTATAAGAACCCTGTACTTTAGATGGATACAAGGCTCTCCTATTAATGATTATACTTTTCAATTGTCCTAGGTGTAGTTCTGGCCAATGGAGTTTGAGTAGGAGTAACTTGTATAGCTTTTAGCCTCTGCTTTTAAGGAAGGGAATGTTACCCTTTCCTCTTCCCCTGGCTAAAATATAGATGTTGACAGTGGAACGTGGAGAAGCTATCTTTGACTAGAGGGAGAAAAGCTGTGGGTCAAGGCTGTCAGAGCAACAAGACAGAACAGACATCAGTCCCTGACAACATTATGTACTTCATGGAAAAGAGCTTTTGTAAGAGCCAAGAACCAGAGAGAAAAATGCAACTCTGTAACAGCAATCACTGGTAAGTAAAAGGATTCAAAGTTGGCTCTACGACAGCATCATACCCACATTGAAAGCTCAAAATATTGTAAATAGGAAATACATTTACCAGTAACATCTGTACAGTTGTCATCCGAATCAGACTCCCCGGGATCAAATACTTGGATCCCCTGAGCTTGCAGCCTCTGAAGTTTGCTCTCCAACTCTCGTTTGGCCCTCAGTAAGTCCTGAATTTCATTTTCCTTGGTCTCCCTAAAAATCTTGGAAAGAATTTATATTTTGAAAATCTGCTATAGTAAAAAGTGTCTTCAACTTTTAAAGGAAAAAATCTTTCATTCATCTGGTTCTTGCTCCCCTCCTTTGTAGGATGAATAATCCGAGTACCCCACCTCACTGTTTACGACTGGACCGGCTAGAACGACAGCAGGATGTGTGTGTGTGTGTGTGTGTGTGGTGTGGGGCTGTCTCGTGAAGTGCGGAATGTTTAGCGAATGTGTCCCCCCTGCCACTAAAGGCCAGTAATGTCCTCCCATTCAAAACACCCCAAACATTTCCAAATGCCTTCCCCCATAGAGAAACACTTCATTTCTTTTAAAAATCTTTGTTTATGTTCACTTTTATACCTTTCCTTTGAAACTATCTCAAGTTCACTGGGCTTAACTCAAAACTCTAAAGTGTTCTACTCTAGTTCTTAGAATTTTCATGACTCCCACATTGCTTACTATTATTTTTATCTCAGCATTTTATGAACCTTGAATATATGTAGTTATTATTCCACATCATTTTGAGAATAAAAATGCAAGGAATACCTTGAATTGCCTTTTAACTTTATCTCTGTCATGTTCAAATGTAGCTGCCCTCTCCATTGCTTGATATTTGGCTTCCAAAGCGCTCTCCTTTTCCCGAAGTATCTTCTGATAAGTTTTTTGAAGTGCCTGAAATAATTTACTTTATTATTTCTAACAAAATGGTATTCTTCCCCAGTTTTATATTACCTTACATACATATTATATATCTTAGAATTTTAACAATTTACTTATTATTATTTTACCAGTTATCAAGAACTATATATTGCCGTTTTATTCAAACACATAATAAAAAAGTGCAAACATGCCTGAACTATAGTAAATGAAGACACTTCACCATTAAGCTTTCCATGGAAAATACTTTTTCTCTACTGTACAAGTTCTTAATCTCACACCTCACTTTCCCCATCTCTCAGGGAACAAGAAGTATAATTTCTAAGCTTAACTTGAAAGATAATTCTGTGAGAACACATGCTCTTTGTATCCTATCCAGGTCTTATTTATCTTATTATCCATAGACCTCCTCCATTTAATATGACTAAATGCTTTAAGTAAATAGAGAAGAACTATTTATGCCCCGCTATGTGAGAAAGTAATGAAAAAGATTACATAAGGAATCAGGACTGGTAACAGGAGGAACCTGTGGCATTTGTCCACCCTTAGTGCACTTGACACTGGTTCTCTTCTACCTCCATCTCACAGTTATTTCCAATGTGCAGTGTTTATTGGAGAGTGGCTTGCACCCATAAAATCAGATATCTGAAATGTATACAACCATTCTGTACATGCAAGTGCATTAAGGCTGCTTGGTAGGAAAACTGTAAGACAACCGATGGACTGCTGATAAGTATTTATTTCCAGGTAACAAGTGTTGATGATACAACAGCTCATGTTGCGGTGGGGGTTGACTGGCATGGCTAGTCTAGAAGAAAAGACGGCTTCCTCCTTTACGAAAATGCAGTCTGAGGTATTTATTCAATTCCTACTGTGATGCGCCCAAGAACACTTGGACTGTCTGTCTAGAAGTGTCTTCCATAGTAAAGAAATAAGTAAACAAACCACAACTCTCAAAGGGTCCCCAAACCATTGGCACAAAGTCTCACAACTCTGATCACAGAAAAGCAACCTTTAGCTTTATTATATACTATTTTAATGAGTTAAAATAGATCTGCTACAGGGAAGTCAATTTTTTTAAAAGTAAATTAAATGGATTAAGGGAATTGGAGTATACCTCAACCACAGCAGTTAAGATCGTGATAATCAGGGGCTTCCAGAAAAATTCCCTTTAGGGTCATTAAAACCCAAGAGCAATGGAACCACACAAAGAAACCTAGACATATATCCCACCTCGGAGGTCTGTAAAATTTTAGCAGAGGAGGGAGGTAAAGACTTCTGGGAAGATTTTGATGAGTTGTTTCAACAGATTGTATCAGAGTATTTTTTGTGTGTGTGCCCTGTGTGAACCTACTTCTCTAGAGCCCCATGGAGACTAGCATTTGCTGCTTCGGGACACTTTCAGGCTAACTGCTTGAAGGCCAGTGAATGAATGAACCATAAATAGAAAAGGGGTGGAATTCGTTAGGAAATCAGTTTAGACTCCAAGAGAATATGCCCCTTTAAATTAATACGCACAGCAGTTTTCTGCGCAACTTTCAAAACTACTTGGTTTGGAAAGGAGACAGGATGGGCTCGGTCCGGGAACACCTACGCAGCCAAGCGTAGGCGGCCCGGACGCCCCTAGGCCCGGCGTTACCTGCAGCTCGGCCCGCAGCCGCTTGTTCTCCGTGTCCAACTTGGCCTCACGACGGCCCATGGACAGCAACTCCTGATTCTTGCTGACCCGGAAGATCTCGTACTCCTTCTTCAGCCGCTCGTACTCAGCCACCGCGTACTCTAGCTCCGGCACCGACGAGCCAGTGGACTTGAAGCTAGCCCCCAGCAGCCCGCCGCCGCCGGCCCCGCGGTTCAGCGACCCAGGCCCGGCCCCGGCTGCCGCCGCTCCCGCACCCCGGCGGAAAGAGCTGCGCAGCAGGCGGGCCTTGGGCTTCACCTCCACCGGGATCTCGCAGGCCTCTCCACCGCCTGCCCCGTAAGTGTCCTCGATTACCTCCCCGCCCGCGGGGCTCACGAGCGACGACGCGGTCCCCATTGCGCCTACAGCGGCCACTACCTAGAGTAATAGAAGGGGCGGGACAGAGCCAGCGGGGCGGGACCCAGCAGGCGCCCAGGAGCTGGGCAACCAGAGAGGTACGGGGTGGGACCCGAGGCGGGGCGAGGGGCGGGACGAGCACGACGGGGCGGGGCATCAGGGCCGGGCGGGGCGGGGCATCAGGGCCGGGCGGGGCGGGGCATCAGGGCCGGGCGGGGCGGGGCATCAGGGCCTGGAGGGGCGGGGCATCAGGGCCGGGAGGGGCGGGGCGAGCAGCGGCTTCTGGGACTGGCGCCGTCCCACGTAAGAGCCTTCGGCGGAGCGCACACTCACGGCCTCTCTTAGCAGCCCTCACCGGCTCGAGGTTCCCTGACTGGCGCGTACCCCACATTGAACACTGGCTTTGGGCTTCCAGCTGCCACCTCTCGCTGCTGCTGTTGGTGTCCCGCGGCCGCGCCTGACAAAAGCTCTCCTCCCGAAGGCAGTGGGGAAATCTGAGGAATTTCTTGAGCGCCGGCTCCGTGCCTTTCACTAAGTGTCTCTGGGTATGCAAACAGTTGGAATGCCCAGCAAGACAGAGTACGAGCCAAGAAAAAGCTTTTAGGCTTTGCAGCCTGAGGCCACCAGGGACAGTCCTTACATGAGGTGAAGGTTTTTGACGTTTTGCGACAACTGATACTGGATGGAAACTGCACATCAGAGAAACTGTGGGGCAGCTCACAAAATAAAGGAAAAGATATATTGCTATATGACAGGGGAGGGGAGGGTTTAGGTGACTAAAAAGAAAAAGAGAGAGGGGGACTGTTTTAGACGTTCAAGTCAGAGAAGAGAGGGGTGGCATCGTCTCCCACCGTATCTAGTGGTCTTGCCCCTCCACCTGACTCTGTCTTGTAACTTCTACAGGTTGGGAGCCCTGGGAGAGAGGACCAAAGAGAAGACAGGAAAGGCTTCTGTTTGATTGATACTGCTGTGGGCTGGATGTTGGTGCCTTTTGGACCACAGGTAAATTGTTAAAGCCGGCCCTTTTAGGTGGTTTTGTAAGTTCTGGAAAGACGTTTCTCCCCCTCATAACTGGAAGTCTTTAATCTTCAATTCTCTATTGAAGATTAGCTCTATTGAAGATAAAGTTAAAAGGCAATTCAAGGTATTGCTTGCATTTTTATTCTCAAAATGATGTGGAATATATTCATATTATGAATATATGAACTACATATATTCAAAGTTCATATAGTGCTGAGATAAAAGTAATAGTGTAGCTGTATTCCAGCTGTCCAGCAGAAGGAGTGAGCTTTAAGCATCCTCTCTGCTGATGTTTGTTCATCTCTCCAGGGTGTCCCTTTGACAGACCCAAGATCATCCAACTTGGTTCATTTCCCCAGGGGCCCACATCTGATCCACAGGTGTTACAGGTCAGGCTTCCTGGGAGGTGGACTCCGAGGTGGACATAACCATGCGCCATGTGTGCTGGGGAGTGCCTTTCCGTCAATTCACAGGGAAAGAAGCAAAACTGGGAAGCAGAAGTTGAGCTTCGCTGCAGTCTTAATGGAGACCTCAGCCAATCGGGGAGTTCAGAAGATGAGAAAACCCTGTAGAATTTGTCTCAACTTGGGGCGGAGGAAGGGGCTGGGACTTTATACCCCCACACCAGCCAGTTATGAGCTCTCTTCAGCCAAAACAATCCCTGTGGGGACTGACAGTTGAGGGCTGTCCACTGGCATCCCTTCTGGGGTCCAGAGAAAGTCTTTTAGTTATCATGACATCTACTGCAATAGGAAACACAATCTTTGCCCCAAAGAACTCTGGGGATGCAGGCCAGTTCTAACTCCCTCCATCAAAGTAGCTGGTCATCCTGTCTCCTCCCCTCAAGCTTTTCTCCAGGAGGGAAGCAGGCACACAAAGTGAAGTCATCTTGGACTCCAGTCAAGCCTATTTGCTAGCTCTTTACAACCAAGTGACTTGAGGGCAGAAGAATCACCCAGCTAGCCCCTACTGACACACGAAATCATGAGATATAATAAAATTGTGTTGGTTTAAGCCACTGACTGGGGGGCAATTTCTTCTCAGAGCTGAAACAAGAGAAATTTTTCTCACATTAGGTCAAGGTAGCTTGTAAAACTTATAAATACTGTTGCCACCTTTTAAAAACTGTCATTTGTAAAATAAATATTACCTGTGTAGGTTAGTATGTGGGTGGTTCTCAGACTATGAATCTCAGAATCACTCGGGACAGTTGTTAAAAATCGAGGTCTGCTGAATTTTAATTTCTGAGACTGGAGCTTGCAAATTTGCACGTTTAGCTAACTCCCAAGTGGTACTTATGTAATTTAAGACCTCAGAGCCATTGAAATTGTATAAAAACTGGCTAGGGATGATCTAATTCGTTGCTACTCACAGTGTGACTCACAGACAGCAGCATCAGCATCACCTTGAAGCTCGTTAGGATTCAGATTCTCAGGTGCCATCACAGGCCTATTGAATCACAAAGTGCGGAGAACAAGATCCCCAGGTGATTTGAATATTCCTTAACATTTGAGAAGCACTGCTGTAGAGCGATGAGTCTTAACCTTGGTTGCACATCACAATCACTCAGAGAACTTAAAAAAATACCGCCACCTAAGCCTCTCCTCAGACCAATTAGATCAGCAACTCCAGGGGGTGGAGATCGGGACATCGCTGGTTTTTAAAAGCTCCTGAGAAGATTTTAATCAGTAGTTGAGGGGGGAAACCAATGAGTTCATCCATTGCTGTCTCATTAATGCCAACACGTGTGTGATCCCCTTTGTTAACCTTCTCTTATGTCTGTGTGCATCTGGATTCCTGTTTACACTTTCTGTCCTTTTATCACAGTTCATCATAGAGAATGCACCTGGGATTTTGGTCACTTTGGTAGTTTGTACTTCAATTTCAGAGACAGACGTGGCATCACAAATGGGCAAAATATCCCTGAGAAAATGTATCGCTTTGGGATGAATGACCTATCCAGTAATGCTGTATAGGGAAATAGTCTTTGAAGACAAAGGAATTCCATAAAAGGAAGGGGTTCTAATTCTCATGAAAGTTGCTAACCTTTTCCTTGGCTGTTGAGTGCTCCTCAGTTCTACCAACTCTGATTGGTGAGAACTCTGATTCCCGAAGTCCCTTGCCACAAAGTTTATTAAGTATGACTCTGATTTCAGGAATTACATAATGATGGACAATATGTAATCTGATCAAACATCTGTGATTTAACATTTATACCACTAGAGGGCAGTATAACTCAGGAAAAAATTAATTTGACAGTAATCAGTATATACATGGTGGTCAAAAGTAGGTTTATAGCTGTGAGTACACAGAACACAATTTATTCCTCTATTATTTATTAATTACTTTATTTATATGTATGACAACTGTAAATCTCCTTTTGTCCACCTCTATATAAAAGAATCATATTTCTTATATGAAGATGAAGACAATCTACGGGGGTTGAAGGGGAGCATTGAATGGAAGATGGGGAGGGGAGGGCAGGGGAGAATAATGGGGAAGAAATGAGGACAACTGTAACGAAATAACATTTAAAAGTTAATAAAAATTAGATTGAAAAAATGAATACTGTCTGTAAGAACTCAGTTCAGGTGGTGTTTTCGGTAGTGATTATCCACATTGCCGTACTTAGTTCTCATCTCCAGTAATGATGTGAATCTGGAAATTAGTTATGAAAGAGACAAGAGCAGGAGTCTGCAAACTTTCTTTGATTAAGGACCAGATAGTACATATTTTATTCTTTGTGGCCCACATGGTCTCTTTCTCAGTTATTCAACTCTGTGCTATAATAGCACGAAAACAGCCATAATGATACATAAATGAATGGGTATGTCTGCATTCTAATGAAACTTTATTTACAAAAACAGGGTGGGAAAATACAACCAATTTTCATATTTCAAAAAGATGAGCTCAAATAAATACATTTCTTAAAAACTTAAAAAAAAATGAAACAGGTGAGGAGGCAGATTTGGCTTGAGGGCTGTATATCGTTTCCTGACCCCTGAACGGGAGTGATAGTTTTTGAACATGGATACTTTTCAGAAGTACCTGAAGAGCCTATTGAATATTTAGAGTCCCGGACCTGACATCAAATCTACTGAATCAAAATATCTGTGGATTGGGCCCACGTATCTGCTTTTTAAAAAAGTCCCCACAGGGTTCTAAAGCAAATACTAATTTAGTAACCATTATGCCAAAACAAAGTTGATTGCCCCTTTTAAGGAACTGCAGGGTGTTCCTTGGCCTATTATAATATTTTCACTATCTCACTCAGTAACCATCCGTGGTATAGAAGATACAATTTAACCTTAGGCTCAGATGATTTCTCTAGGTATCCTGCAAGCCCATCAATGAAGGTCTCATTCCTATGTAAATATTTGTACTAAGCCACTGGTCTGGGGGTTATTTTGTACCACAGCACACCCTAGCCTGTCCTGATGGATAGAGGGGCATAATGAATTAGTTTGAACAGAGATGGGGAGGAAATAGAAGAAAATGGTACAAAGAGAAGGAAGCATTTAGAGAGATGGTTGAATGTTGTGTAGTATCTCCCCAAAATGTTTCAAATCTTTAATAAATTTATAACTTCATAAAACTTGCTGTAATTGGATTTTTTATTTCTTTCTTTCCTTCTTTCGCAGAAATCAGTGAAGGAGAGGAATTGAATGCCTAGGTGAGTACACGGTGAAGCAAAGGCAACACAGGGATACAGTGGGGAAGGAAATTAGATAAGAATATTTTAAATATGAAGTGTCCATGCCTCATGAAGTGTGTTCTCCAAAGATAGGGTTGCTGTGGGCTGTTTCACCTTGGACTAAGTAAACCTATGGATATATAGAAAGCCATGCTTTAAAAAGATCTGCAATGGGTTTCAGTAATAATGTGATAACATATATATTTACTTGTGGTCCTAAAGCACACTGCGTATTTTGGACATTTGTTTAACAAATAAAGCAACTATAATTTTCTGGAGCAGAAGAAGCCTCAGATGCAAGAAACCATTTGTGTCTTGCTTGCTGAGGAATGTCCTTCTGTTTCTCAAGTTCAGAGCTGTTCTATTCCCTGCTGTACCTCTACTCAGTTCACTGGTGGAGTTGAATATAACCTCCGCTTAATTTCTTTCATGGAACTGCCCATTCATTCCAAGTCTGGTAGCCAGTGTCCACTTCAGGTTGTCAGTAATGACCATCACCCTTTTCCCAGACTCCTGACCCTCCTAATCCACATGACAGGAAGTCAGCAAGGGGCCAGATGTAATCAGCTCCCACCAGGGAGAAGCGAAGTCTTCTTCACCACTGTGTAAATTTGCAAAAGGATGTGCTTTTCTGACTTAAGTCAGAGACTGAGAAGAAAATTAGCTGAGGTCTGTAGTTAGGGAAGGAAAATACTATATCTCTTTAGAAGCATATATACAAAATAGCAGGTTTTAACTTTCAGAGTTTAACACATAGAAGTTTCTCTTTTAGATAAGATTTATTCGTGGTTATAAAATTTTAATAATTTTGATCATAACACTGATAGCTTTTATACACATTATAACCTCAATTTGTAAATGAGTCGTGTTCCAATGGCTAATTTAATAACCTAATATTTAGTATCTGAAGTATATTTTCTCAAGAAACAATGCTGGGGAAGGTGATTATTGTTTCAGCTCAGCACACAGAAAGCTATTTATGCTAAATGCTGAGCAAAAACAATCTGAGCACCATTATAATGTGTGTTCTATGGAACCATGCTTTTAGCATATTCACTCAAATTATTTAGGACCACATCTACTCTTGGGTTGTGAAATCTTAGATATTACTTCTGCTCATGTTTGTGGCCTGCTAGACGCCACAAAGGGGACACCTACAGGAGGAAATAATAAAGGGTAGAGCAGAAATAAATGGAAGAGAGAACAGAAAAACAATAGAAAAGGTCAGCAAAGCTAAGGTTTGGTTTTATGAAGCAATAAAACCGACAAACTTTTACCTAGGAAAAAATAAAACAGAGGAAACCTATAGAAAAGGCTCCTTGGTAATGGTCTTGGCAGTGATTTTTCTTTTAAGGCATAAGCAACAAAAGTAAAAATAAACAAATGGAATTTCATCAAATTAAAAAGCTTCTGTACAGTGAAAACAACCAACTAACAAACAAAATAATAATCAGAAAAATGAAAAGGTAACCTATGGAATGGCAGAAAATATTTGCAAGCCATGTATCTAGTAAGGAATTAATAGTCAAAATATATAGGGAACTTATATAAGGAACTTGTACATGTCAATAGCAAAAAAGAAAAAAAACCACAAAAAACAAAAAAACAACTGAAAAATGGGCAAAGGACCTGAACAGACATTTTTCCGAAGGAGACATACAAATGGCCAACAGGTACATGAAAGGTGATTAGCATCACTAATTACCAGGGAAATGCATATCAAAACCACAATGAGATACCATTTCACACCTGTCAGAATGGCTCTTGTCAAAAAGAGAAAGGATAACCAGTATTGGTGAGGGTGTGGAGAAAAGGGAATCCTTTCGCTCGACTATTGATGAAATGGAAATTGGTATAGCCATTATGGAAAATAGTATAGAGGATCCTCAAAAAATTAGCAATAGAACTACCATATGATATAGCAATTTCACTTCCAGGTATATATTTGAAGGGAATGAAATCACCATCTCCAAGAGATATCTACGCATATTTATCACAGCATTTTTCACAATAGCCCAGACATGGAAACAATCTAAATGTCAGTTGACAGAAGAATGAATGAAGAAACTGTGGTATACATACACAGTGCGATATTATTCAGCCTTAGGGGGAAAAGAAAGAAATCCTGCCATTTGTGACAACATAGATGGATCTTAAGAGTTCATGCTGAGTGAAATAAACCACACAAAGAAAAGCAAATACTGTGTGATGTCTGTCATATATGCATTCGAAGAAAGTCAGATTCATAGAAACAGTAAGTAGAATGGTGGTTACCAGAAGTTGGGGGAAATGTTGATTAAAGCATACCAATTTTCAGTTATAAGATGAATGAGTTCTGGGCGGTCTGATGTACAGCCTGGTGGCTATAGTTAATAATATCGTATATTCAGAATGTGCTAAGAGAGTAGATCTTTGTTCTTATGACACACCCCAACATTGTATCTGTATGATGTGATGGATGTGTTAATTAATCTTATGTGGTAATCATGTCCCACTATATGCATATCAACTCATCATTTTGTGCTAAACTTACACAATGTTATTTATCAAGTATATCATGTAAAGCTGGAAAAAATGCAATTTCACTACATAGCCAAACAAACAACTAAAAAACATGAAAAACAGAGCTAATTTTAAGTGTCACAAGGACAAGGATCTGGAGCAACCGGAACTCTCCTGCACTGTCTGAGAGAGTGTAAATTGAGGCAAGCACTTTGGAAAATGCTGTAAGTATTGCTTAAAGTTGCATATCCCAGCTATTTTAGTCCCAGGCATAATTCTTGCAGAAATGCATACATACATTTACCAAAATACACATATGTATTTTGAAGCCAATATGAAGTATTGGGTTAGCCAAAAAGTTCATTTGGGTTTTTTTCCATAAGAAGGCTTTAACAGTGCTTAGCTGTCTTTAACTTCATTCGAAATAATTCTGTTAGGTTATACTGTGACAGCTGTCATATCAGTGTGCATTTTAAAAAGCTTATCAAAATTGGTGAATTTTTGTGTAGCCATTTTAATATTGAAGATGGAAGAAAATACATAACCTTTTTGGCATGTTATGCTTTATTATTTCAAGAGAGGTAAAAATGTAACTGAAACACACAAAAAAGATTTGTGCAGTATATGGAGAAGGAGCCGTTACTAATCGAGTGTGTCAAAAGTGGTTTGTGAAGTTTCGTGCTAGAGATTTCTTGCTGGATGATGCTCCATGGTCAGGTAGACCAGTTGAAGTTGATAGCGATCTGACCAAGGCACTGAGACCAACCAACGTCATACCACGCAGGAGATAGCTGACATACTCAAAATAGCCAAATCAATAAAGTTATTGGTGAAAATGAAAACATGCCTTTTATTTTATGGAAAAAAACTCAACAGACTTTTTGGTCCACCCAATATATATTGTTGTTTTTAGCTATATTAAGTGTATTATAAAGTGTGTAATCATTTAAAAATTTTTTCCATTTCAAAGAAGTGATTAATATGTAAATAGCTAATATGCTTTCGTAAGAAAGATGTTGATGGCCCTTCAAGAAATTTAAATTACTTTGAAATTTCAGTATGTGGAGCATCTGTGATGTCAGTCACTTCCACTCATGCCTCTGTGTGTGTGTACGCAAGCATATGATTAGTTCCCTTTAAGAGATTCTGGTTTAATATAATATATTCACATAAAAATATCTCCTTTGAACACTGCATTGAGATTCAGTTACTCAAAGAATAAAAAATTTTAATTCGAGTATAGCTTCACAGAACACACTGTAGTGGGGTGTCAGAGGGTAAAGCCATGTCTGTCGAATAGTATTTCCTTGGATTGTGGACATCCTTTGAATAAATTAAATCTTTCTTCACCTTATGAAATATAACTTCAGGCTTCCCATAATTCCTAAAAAGTACTTTATAATCCTTAGAAGCCACATATAAATTGACAATATTTATTGTCAATACTCATGACTTAATTTTTAATTTTTCTTCCTTGTTTTATTTACCTCAAAAATAAACCAAAGATCTAGTTCCAATGGATGCTGGAGTTCTACTTCCATTTAAAAGGAGAAAAGAAAATATATATATCTTACCAGATTTAGATTAATCATGTACTTAAAAACATTATTCCATCTCTTTATAATTGTTAGTTATACATTTATGTATTAAACTTTTAGTGGTTGCTCTAAACATGTCATCATCTATCCTTGACTTATTAAAGTTTATTATGGACTAGAACTTTTAGCACTTCTCATACAAAGCAAGAATTTAAAAACTGAAACAACAAAAGCACAGAAGTTGAAGGAGAGTAATCCTTCAACTTCTGTGCTTTTGTTATGTATTTTATTTTTACATGTATTTAAAATTCCGTAAAACATAATTGTTTTATGTAGTTGATTTTTATTCATATCTATGCCTGTTCTCTCCTTTCTGTTGCTCTCCATTCCTTGCTGCATTATCTGGCTTTCATATGGGGGTCAGTTGACAAACTCCCTTTAGTGTGTTTGTGTGTATGCGCACATATGTATATATATCTATATGTGTGTGTATATACACACACACATACACATATATATTTTTTAGGGTAAATCTGTTGGTGGCAAACTCTCTCCATTTTTGTTTGTCTTAAAACATTTTTTTTTCACATCTTTTTGAAGGGTATTTTTGCTGAGTATAGAATTCTAGGCTGGAAGCTTTTTCTTTCAGCATTTTAAATGTATCATTTCATTGATTTCCAGCTTTCATTGCTTATGTTTAACTGTCAACCATAAGTCTCACTGCTGAGCACTTTAACACAATGTCTCCCTTCCCTGTGTGACTGCTTTTTGATTTTCTCTTTATCTTTCACCTTCAGCAGTTTGACCATAAGTTTTTTGATCCTGCTTGGGATTTTTAGAGTTTCTTGAGCATAAGGCTTGATGTCTGGGGTTGATCGTTGTTACAAATTCTCAGCCAATCTCTGATTCATATGTTATTTTTGCCCAAATCTCTCTTTT